CTTGGGAAGGGAGGCCTTCCCAGCAGCGCTTGGAAAGGAGGAACTGGAAAGCCTACAAGATGCAGCATGTCGCAATCCAAGGCAAAACAACCTCACAGTCTCAGGCAGTCAACCCCTGCAGGACCCATTGTTGAACACTGTTCAGTGGGACTAGCTCCCGTGGTCTCAGAACAGACTGATCTAGTAAGCCTTACCCACTGCGTGCATGGACACTCAGCGCGTGCTCTTTTCCAATGCCACATTATACGTTTCAGCTGCGCACATCATAAGCATGTGCAGCATATATCAGACTTTGGTTTGTTGCTGTCGGACATCAATCACGGTTGTGATTGGTCAGATCACAGTTGGATGGGGCATAATGGAATCGGGCCATGGGTAGTCCATACTGCAAACAAGTTCACAGAGAATGGTAGTGTTGTCATGTGCCTGGTTGCATTGGCAGCATTCGGGCCTATGTATTCCATCATCGGATTAGCCGCTTCTAGCAAAAATCTTTTGGTGAGACACACTCTGGGCAAATTTTGTTTGCAGGAAAAGAGTTTCTTTCACAAGGTCAGTGAGCGACTGTCCAAGCCCAACATCTTCATCCTGAACAACCGTTGGGATGCAGCCGCCAACGAACCCGAAATGGAAGCAGTAAGTGCTCATGCATCTGTTGTGTGTCGATCTCTTTGGTACAATAAACTATACATATTTTTCAATTGATTTTGATAGATTAAAAAACAAGGCTGTGAAAATTGCCATATCTGTTCAAGCCTATGACAAAAGATTAAAACAAAGTTATCTGCATGTGATTCAAAAGTTGTTTGCCGACCTTGGTGATGACCTCATAGACGTCTGAATCTTCATGTTTAGTTTCTACTTATTTATGAGTTTCATCAAAAAGATTTTAAACTGAAACTTGGGGCTGTCATTGATAAGGTGCTTTTACATGCAATATTGTCTGTAAGAAAACATAAGCCAAGAAGTTGAAAAAAATGAATTGTAAACTGCCCTCATTTTTAATTCTTTAAATTGTAATTTGAAAAATGCGCCTAACCTTTTGAAAAATAATTAAGTCCGGTCATTCTTGGTGCTGCATCTTTTGAAAGATTCCCGAATCTAAGGGTTTCCAAACAGAACAAAACAAATGCAAATGCCACATGTATATTGTTTATCTTTCTGTAACAATCGAGAGGTTTCTTCAAGATGTTTTGCTGTCTCCTGTAGGTTAAGAAGCAGCACTTGCAGCGGAACATAGAGTTCCTGGTGGACGAGTTGAAGGTGGTGACCAGACAGCAGGCCGAGGACCGAGTCTTCTTTGTCTCAGCCAAGGAGGCCCTCATCACTCGCATCCCAAAGCCCGCCCACACACCGGACTCAAGTGAGTAGTTGCAGTGATGCGCTTGAGTACGTCTTCATGAGTATGAGTTACAGTCCTGGGTATTGCACCTGAGCATGAGTCTGAGTTACAACCCTTTGCAGTGCACCTGAGCACATTTTAATGTGTGAAAATATGAGCATAAAAAATCTCAAATGCCTGGATATGAGCACTACAATCCTTGTGATATAATCAGGC